ATCAGAAAATTTTTTTATTTTCAGACTTCGAAAAAGTCGTTGATTAATAACAAAGCCCATTTTTGAATGCACAAACTCTCGCTCACCATTCGAGATATTCTTCAGGACGATAAAAACATTGTAGAGAAACCAGTGAAGAATTGCCTGTCTTAATACGCAGTTAAATATTTCGTTATTAATAATTCAATAATAGTTTAATTTAATGCTAGTTTGAGATTAGCTTGCGACTTTGTAACGACCTTGATTTTCCTACAGTGGCAACTGCAGTTTCGACATTTTTCCAGGACGTGGCGAGATAACAAACTCACTTGTAACCACAATGTTGTTCAACAAAAAAAGCCCAAAGGACGAAATCCAGTCTTAATTAATCACCAGTTTGCGTGTAAATTACAGCGCTGTTTCAAAAAAAAGCGGAGACCAAAAAAGCTTCAGCCCATGCTCGACTAGCACGTGCAAGTACTCCTTTCCTCCCTGTACTTCACAACACTAACTCATTTAGTCGCCGAAGTTCACTGGATCGTGTTTGTGATGCATAGAGAACTTCGAAATCTTTTTAAGAAAACACTTCTTATTGGTAGTACAGTCGTATAGGAATAGACGTTGAGGTGGATGTTTAAGAAAAACTGAGACTGAGAGTATTATGATCTTGAAAAAATAGAATTTGAAAGTGTAACAATTATTGCGTTATACTGAGACCTACAGTTTTAGTAATTTTCATGTACTCCCAGGTTAAAACATACTTTTACTAGCACAGAAAGAATAGTGGAATTCAAGATTGATTACACAGGCCTGCGAAATATAACTTTTAATTTCCCTTTTAAATAATATTGTTTTTTTTTTAGGTATTTATGTATGCGGAATTAAAATATAACTCTAGTTTTTTTGTAGCACATCGAGATTTAGTTTTATGTAGGCCTAAATATTCATAGCTTTTCAAACAATTTTTATGAAAAAATAAAATATAAAGAATATAAAATTGAATGTTTATTTATTAAATGAACTAAATTAGTTATAAACAAGACTTAAAAAAACAAATATATCAAGAAGCTTCTTTTTTTCTTTCTTCAAAGCTCTGATTTAAGCGTTTTCTCTTGTATTCACGATAGGATATGTTATTGCTGTTACATTTTTCGCATTATATCTTTTTATATTTGAACAGCAAATGTAACAATCGTTTGTATGATTGTGTGGCTCCATCCAAATCATTGGTGTCAGCAAGCTTAAAGATTTGTTTTTCCTTTTGACCATTTGCAAGGTGCATGAACACATTTTATGAGGCACACAATTTTTGTCTTGGTTTTTTTATATTAACTTTAAAATAACTTTCGCATAGTTGTTCGATAAATTCAGAAATTATTTGTTGTTGTTTTTTGATTAAATAACTTCTACGAATGTAACAGAAGTTATCTGAAGAATTAACCCATTTCCGAGAAGACATTCGTAATTTTTGTTTAAATTCAGGGTAGTAAGCGCATAGTCGACACAAATAACTCTTATTAAGCTGAACACGAAATGAAATATCAACACCATTATCCATACATATTATTACCACAAAATCTAGAAATTAATTTTTGTAGTACTATGAACAAAACTGAAAAAAATATTTTTTGCAGAAACTGTACGTGATAGAAATTTTTGCAATTTTTTTTTATACATGAGTATTTAAGACCTACCGAAATTACTACTTGATTTTGTTGGGGGAAAACCATCGCAGGCCCGTGTTATTTATTAAACAAGCATAACAGAAACGCTTCATTCTCCTAGTTGCCTTTATATAAAGTAAAATAAATAAATAAAGTTTATTTATTTATATAAATCCATATATACAAACATAATAATAATATATTTATTAAGTTATTCAAAAATAAAAACTAGGCAGACGGCAAATGCCCTGTTATATCCTATTCTAACAGCAGAGAAACCAAATAAGATCAACTTAAAAATATTGTAAAAGAACTCGGAGAGCTGATAATTATTATCAGTACATATAATAAAAAGAGAAGTCTCTGACTCACCGACTGACTGAGTCATCAACGCCCAGCCCAAACCCTTGGACCTAGAAACGTCAAATTTTGCACGGAAGTTCCCTCCATGATGTAGACAAGAGATAAGACCCAATTTTTTTAAATTCTCAGAGGATAGCGAATAAATCTATACAGGCCCGCTAAAAGGTATGAAAGCAGTTGAATATCACGAGAACGGTTTATCAGAGTTAATTGAAATTTGGTACACAAGTAATAAGTATTTAAACTCTATCCTCAGAAATATTACTCAACTTTCCATCAAAATTTGTTAGGGAGATACAAGGCCAACTTGATTTTTTTGAAATAGCACGAGGTGTCAAATTTATATTTAGAAAAAAAAAACATTTTTTCTGCGTTCAGAAATGTGACACATGTCTTTCTTTATTTGCAATAAGAGGCAAAAAAAATTAAAATAATACAGTTTGGAAAAAGATTTTTTTTTTCTTTTGTTTTCAATTAAATGTGTTATTTTTACAATTATTATTAACTTTTACTTAAATTTTCTATCGACGTACAGGTGGTGAAGAACTAATGACAGATAAAGACAACATTTCCTACGCCAAATAAATTTCACATATTCCAAATTGTTTTATTTTAATGTTTTTTTTTTTTACCTTTACTGCAAATAAGTAAAGGCATGATTGTTACATCACGGAATACAGAAAAAAAAAAGATTTTTTCAAAGATGTTAAATGAAAATTTCAATAACATTTCAGAAGATAGAGTTTCAAAACTTTTACATATATACCAAATTTCAATGAGTTCTGATAAACCGTTCTGGAAATATTTAGCTGCATCCATATTTTTTAACAACCCTGTACATATCAAAGAGTAAACTGATCTACTAGCCCAAATCGTTGGGTCTAGAAACTTGAAATTTTGCATGTAGGTTTCCTTCAAAACACAGGCGCTCATTATGAAAGAATTTTTGGAAATTCTTCCCGTAAGGGGCTAAAATAGCGGATGAAAATCATAATGTTCGTTATGTCATGCATTTTCAGAGTAAAGCTTGAAATTTAAAATTTACTCTTCTTCTTAGAACTTAAACGCTTACCTGTTTCAGCGTTTTTGGAAATACCACCCTTGCAGAGGTAAAATAGGGTATGAAAATTTGTGGGTCGCTTAATTTTCGAAATAAATAAATATGAAATTTAATATGTATAGTTTTATAGTTAGAAATTAACATTTACCTGTTCCTGGATTTTTGGAAATTGCATCCCTCGGGAGGTAAAATAGAGGCTGAAAGACTCTTTGAAAGTCGCATTTACTTAAGAAATTAGTTAGTACTTGAACTTGGCTTTTTATTTATTTTTTTTCTTGCATTGGTAATACCCTGTGACTACTTTTCATTTGTGCTAGGACTAGTATTATCCATCTTGATGTCATCATCACAAATTTTTTATTGGTCAAATTAAGAACTTGTCACCCCATTTTCTAGAAAATGTTTAAGAATAAGCACGTTTTTATATAATAATGATAAAATAAGAATTATAGGAGTAATATTCAAAACATTTTGTTTGATTGTGGTTTAATCAATAATTTTAGTCCTGTTTTGAGAAGACAAACTCATTCAAATCAAACTGATTTCTACGTGACATTCTTTCAATGTATAAACATAAATAAACACTTGAGCGTTTGATTGCTATTACCTAGTGCCGAAGGACAAGGGGTGTTATTTATATCTCTGGTTTTTACTTTACAGCAACCAAACGAAGATCGTAAAATCATTCATATTTTTTAATTTTGCTTAAACAGCTGTGTCAAAAAAATTAATGAATGTGTCAGTTTTATTAATTAAGTCCGGAACGGCTCACTCCATTTTGCCAGAAATTTTTGGGAATACAATACTCTTATTTTTAGAATTACATTGCACCAATCCAAGTTGATATACGTGCCCTAGCAAAAATTTCGATGACGTCATTGCAAAATTGTGTAAAGAAAAAACTCAACTCGAAAATGCTGGGTATGTTTGATTGTACTTCAGGAGCGAGGGAAGTTCTGTCGAAACAACTTTCGACCAATTTTTTTATGGTACAGGCTATATATCTCTTCTTCTTAGGCTTTATAACCACAGTTTGTTTTTGAAATTACGATGTGACGTTGCTGGGTCACTCCAATTTTCTTGAAATTTTCTCTCAATGTGTTACAACATTTTGTGGAGAGAACAAAAGGTACGCGCTTAGTTGTGCCATAAATAAGATTATTTTTTCATACACAGAGAGTATATCAAAAATTTTTTAATTATTAAAATCAAATATCCATATTTCAGTTTTCTCGAATAGAAGTATATTTTATTACAGCATCTTATTTTATTTTTTGTTTCCTTTCATTTTTGATCAGTATTTTCTATTTTTAAAATTGATAGTTACTGCAATTTTTTCGTATTTAATAGACACATCGATGCATTAGAAGAATCAGGAAAAAATAGAGTAATAAAATACAGGGTTTTTCATTTGAAACGATTGAAATGTCGATATTTGAAAATTATAAAGTATTAGAATTTTTTATAAACATCTTGTACATGCAAACAACTATTTATATCGAGCGAGCAATATAATTTGTAATCGAGTCATTTCTTGATTTTCATTTGTTTCGGAAAAGTCACGTCGATGATTGATCCACATAGTTCATAACTTCATAATTAAATTGACAGATCGAAAGAAAAAAATGGCGTGAACTCAGAACGGAATTTAAATAATGAATTAATGAATGATTAACCATTTAAATCTTCAGATTTTTTATTTAATAAGACTCATCTTCTTTGTTTTGAACGTATCCTGAAATGTGGGGGCGAATTCGGTGAATATAATTCCATAAAATCTGACCACAGTAAAGGAATCGACTTTTAAATCGATGATGGTTTTTTTCACTTTAATGAGGTAAATCGACTTGTGCAAACACATTTTTCAGCCAAAAACAAACCAAAATTTTGAATTTTCATCATTTACTTTTTAATAAAAAAAAATAACACTTAAATTCACAATTAATTTCCATTAGAGCATTAAACACTTTATTTAAAGTCCCCATTCACAATAAATGCTGAAAATGTTCCCCATTTTCTTGTAAACACAGCAAAGCTCTTCTTCGAACTGCATCACTGACATTGTTCAACATAACCTCATTGTTGTTTATTTCGTTGATTTTTTCGGTTATTCTGTTCCTTAAATCTTCCAAATCATTAACAGGAGTACAATAAATTGTCTTCTTTAAATGCGGCCAGAGAAAAAAATCAGCAGGTGTAAGATCACATGATCTTGGAGGCCAGATGTGTTCAGTATTTCGACTAATGACTCTTTGGTCAAAAAACTCTCGTAATGTCGCTATTGTTATTTGAGCAGTATGTGCTGTGGCACCGTCTTGTTGGAAAAAACCAAAAGCTAATTCATCATCATGGAGTTCTCTTATGAATGGCCCCAAAATTTCTTCCAGATATCGAATGGCTGTTAAATTGCCTAAAAAATGATAAGTTGAGGAAGAAAGTTAAAACTTTAGTTTTCATTTTCTTACCATTAAAAAAGAATGGGCCTATGATGCGTCTTCGGCTAATTGCAGCCCAAACACCAATTTTTTGTGCATGAAGTGGGGCCTCAACATAAAAAGGTGGTTTCTCTTGGCTCCACATTCGCATATTTTGGGAATTAACATAACCACTCAAGTGGAACCAAGCTTCATCCGTAAAAAATGTCTTCTCTAGCAGTTCATCATCAAATGTGTTCAAAAACCACTCACAGTATTCACGTCTTATTGGAAAATCCCCGTGATGTAATTCTTGCACACATTGTAATCGATAAGCAAATAATCCCAAGTCTTTTTTCAATATTGTTCGGCAAGTGCCATATGACAAGTCCACTTGTTGTTGCAAATGACGAATAGACGTTGTTGGGACTTCGTCCATGATTTCTCGAACATTTTCAATATTTTCAGGAGTTCTCTTGTTTTTTGTTTTGCCAGCTCCTGGTTTTCTTTGCAAAGACCCAGTTTCTCTGAACTGTCCCACACTACGCTTTAAAGCATTGCAAAAATTAGCATAATCCACAATATTTATTGGAAATTGCTCTCTAAATTCGGTCCACGTGTCAGGAATTGAATATTGCCATTGTCCGTCGATTTTTTGACCATTTCGAAAGTAAGACTCAATCATAAAAGTCTTATATTCCAATGTAAAAGCCATTTTTCATCAAGTTCTTGAATTTGTTGAAAATTTAAGCCAAAAAACGGCCCAAAATGAAAACAAGTTAGTTCTGAAAAGAACTGTTTTTTTTAAGAGGATTTTCACTACGAAACACAACAAAAGAAAAAAATCGTTCGTTACGGTCCTTCAGTTACTTAAAGAATTCAGAAAAAGACACAATTCAGTTCGAAAACACTTGGAAAACACAATCAACTTAACCTCAAACGTAACGAACAGTTGAACAGTGGTTCAAGTTATATCCAATATCGGTCAAGGTCTTACTGCAAATACCACAGGCGAATACATATTCCAATCATGTAAAAAATAGGGATGAATTTTAAAAACTGCAGAATTGCAAAACTGAACGACTCAGTACAATTTAAAATGTTTAACATTAATTTTAATAAAATTTCCAAAACCCATTAATGCAGCTAAACGGCGGAATTGTAGACATCATTAATCGTCAGAATTTGGTAAGACACACGTACCTTGTTCAAATGTTTTTTGCAAATGTAACTCGATTACAAATTATATTGCTCGCTCGATATTAACAAACCTAAATTTTCGTGCACGAAGCTGCGGTTAGAAGCTAATAAACAATAAAGTAAACAGTGTGGAAAATAAAATAGCAAACGCAATCTTGAAAGTATCACAAGTTTCAACAATCGGTATTATAGATGATGCGTTATTCAGTAAATATGCAACGAGATTTAAGATTTTTAATTTAATAAAATAGTAACGGCAGTAATCACAAAAAAAAGTGAAAATAGCTTTTAGAATTTCGTAGCAGCTCCTTTTAGTTTTACAAAAATTTATATTCTTCAAACAAACAAGAAGATATAGACATTTCTGTCATTTTTATATTCTATAATGTGAAGTTTCGGTAAACACGTGGTTCAAATTTACAATGAATACTTTTGTGGTTATGACGTTATTTCTACTGTTTCATTCCAGTTTAAATCCATAGTAAAAAGAAAAAAAAAAACATGATATTTTGTATTGCAGTTGTGCTCTTTTTAAAATTTTTCAACCACAAATTGTAACCGTTACTTGTTTCACGGGTGTGGAATTTTTAGTTTTGCGTATAAAACACTTATAGAATCATAATGGGACTCATCCCGTAAACACAAACAGACGTCTTCCCCCGTATTCGTCGCGCTGTAAACAACCAAATGCAGTTTTTAATTAACGCTTTTTGCGGCGGCTTTGTGTATGTGGGGTGTCTAATTGGTGAAGTTGGGTCCTCGCGGCTTAGGTGGGCCGTCGTGCCGTTAATAAATCCCGTGTTTAGAGTTCGCTTCCAAACAGAGAATAGCGTTCTTAAATCTTGTTAACTGTTCTAATTACACGGCAACCTAGAATAGCTAAATTATATTTAAAAGGGCATGATTAACAGGCAAAGGCGGCCAATTAAAGTTTATTTAGTTCGTTATCGTAAGTTGGGGGCCTCGGCCCGTCGTTTTCACGACATCATCTCTAACGTGGTAATGGTCTATATTTCACGCTTTGTGTGTTTTTTGCCCTGCCCGATCGGGCCTGGTACGCGATGTCACTTCATTTTCGTCCTTTTTTCAGGACATCGCCGTCTCATTTCCGCCGATTTAAAACACGCAACTTCGGGACTCTTTTCAAAAGTTTGGGTTTTGTTATGGCCACACATAATTTTTCGTGCTTTTGCTGCCAGGGTGGCTGAAAGAACATTTTTCGTGCCACGCTACGACGGAGGAAGTTTTTCAGGGATGTTGAACAAGCCTGAATTATTTGGCACGATTTCGGCGCTATTTATTACTGCCTTATTAATAGTTTATAACTTTGATAAATTTATTGTACGTTTTATTGCCCTTTGCATCTTACGAGGCGACCGCAAGCGATCACCACAAGACGAAACTTGTTTGGCCGCAGATTAATAATCATAATTTGTCCTCGTTTTCGTCAGCCCGAACAGGAAATCGTTACACGACGGTTATTTAAAATTCAAATAACAGACCGTAATAATCGTTACGTTCCCTTATATTGGCAAATGTGTACGCATAAAAAAATGCGAATCGTTGGCAGAATATTAAACCATAACTCCCGAATATTTCAATTGATATTAACCCGAAAAGTTTGGCCAGCCCCGGCCGATCTATTGATTCCCGATCCTAAACTCGTAAAACAAATTGAATTCATACTAAGAACTTTGAAATTGGATCTAATATCGCTCTTTTTGGGAACCATAAAGTAATGGTTTTTTCCTTATATAATTCTTGCAACATCTACGCTTTGATGGATTACGCGCTTTCCTTATTTGTATCGGTGATATCCGGGACAGATAATCTGTTTCGTACTACATCAGCAACTTTTTTATTAACTTCAACTTCCAACAACTTCGCGTATTATTCCTTCTTTCTTACTCAATCGACCGGATTTTTTCATTACGCATTAGAAGTTCCTTTGCGAGAAAATATAGATCCGGCTTTCGGCATGGCTTTATGAATGAAATCGCCGTTCGCCTCGGCCACAAAATTTCACTGGGTTATAAATGTTCCCGATTATTTTACCTCTAGTTGACATCATGCATTAAAAACAAGAACGTGGAACGAAAGCTTCGGAATTAGGAAGTCTTGAGAGAGACAATTCAAGCTTTGGAAAGAAAAAATAAACGCTAGAAACTCCACTCCAAACTTGAGTGGTGAAGAATTTGTCATAATTGGATTGTGAATAGCTTCGGAATAAAAATGAAGAAATGTTGCATAAAATGCTAGTGCGGAAACGGTATAAGAAACGATGCAATTTTGAGAGCACGGAAATAAGTCGTAATATGTATCGTGCAGATGGTTAAACGCTAACCAAAATTTGTGTAAACAGCCCCACTAAAATGACGTCATCTCAACATTTTACACAGTAAACCTTATGTGGATTGTATAAAGTAAATCTATAGAATACAGTTTAGGACCACCTATGTGAAAATTTGTTTTAGCCGCTGCGCGCAATTGACCCATGCTCCTGAATTGTACGCTACCGGTTTAATAAAAGCTATAATTATTTACTATAGTAGATTAGAGAATTGTGCTAGCATGTTGTAAAACTAACCCAATTAGAACGTCTGCTGTGTTTCTCTTTCTGTCTTCCTCCGACACACTGTACTTACGCAGGTAAAGAATGCCCTAACTTACTATTTATTTATATATAAAATTTAACTAACAGGTATTATTCGTTCCCAGGCAATTATGGACCCGCCGCGATGTCATAAATCATCTCGTGTACGTATGGTTGCCTGATTCTAACAAAATCTCTTAATTTGTTTCTCTCATTTTTTGCTTAAAAGTTATGATATAATAAAATATTCTAGAGGCCTATTTATGTTTTACATCAAAATTCTGTATTATCTTTACACAAAATGAGGTTTCGTATTTATACGTAATTATTTTTTTTTTTAAACGGTAACAAAATTTCGAAAAATAATATTTCTTCTCCAGAAGATTTTGAAGTCTTTGTCTGACTGTAGTACCGTAGTTCCCAAACGGATGAACCGATTTCAATGCGTTTTGTTTTTGAAAGCTGGTTTAACTATTCTTGATGATAATCGCGTCAACGATTTCAATATCATCAGCTCACAACACCATTGTTGTAGGATTAAGGTCGATTTCCGCGAAATTAGGAAGACCACGACAACCGTCGCAGCGAATCTTAACCAGTTTCGGACTTTTTAAGTTTTCATTGTTTTTGTCTGAGATTTTTAAGTTTCTTCACTTGTTTGTAGTTCAATATTGTATTCATAATTTTAAGGATGGCTGTCCAGTTATCGTAAATAATTATTTACGCATCCGCATATTTTTTAATTTTGGAATAGTCACCCGTACAATCCTGGTAATATATGTTTTCTCCTTTTTCTTGCATTCGGTAAAGTACGAGTTAATTACCTTAATTACTGAGGGCGGTTATATAATAGTTAATGAATCCTCACATTGTACAATCAGAGTCAGTATTATTGCTAATTATTGCTACTAATATTGTTATTATTAAACCGTCCCCACACATATGGGTCGCTCGAAATGTTTCGCGTTTGCTTCGATTTCGCACAGAATTGTCCGACATTCCTCCTTCCTCCACTTCACACAAAACAAGAGCGTCACCCTTTCGGCCCACCTTAATAAACACAGCCCCAAGAAAAGCTCAGTGTGGGCACTTTATTCCCCGTAACCCTATTTAAAGCAGATTGCTATTCGAAAGTAATTTCTTAGCGAGGGCACACACGGGCGGTCGGCAGACACGGCTTTCTGTCTGGTTAAGTAAACTTGGAAATAAACTCCTCGACAGTAGTTGCCCGAGGGGTCGGGGTCGGGCTCGTGGATAGAGGGTCCGGAGGAGATCTGGTTATCCCGTTAGCGGGAACTTATAAATCTGAACACTCCGCAGGTGGGTAATGGGAGCGGCGGCGGTGCAGCGGCGGCCACCGTAAGATTACATGTCTACCGGATGGTGATATAATGGCCGGGTAATCGAGTCACGCGTGCCCATTCACCCCTTCGTCCCTGTGAACGCTGAACCGGGACATAACCCGGAATCAACACCTTGAGCGACTTTTAATATCGGGGTTTGTGCTTGCGGCGGCTGATTGCTCACGAACGCGTGAAAATTAATCCGCGACTCGCCGAAGTGGCTCTTTTATATGCAACTAATTAAACATTCGACATCGTAATGCGACCAACACTATTTGAAGTGGGTTTATCTGTTTTCATAGCTCCTGGAATGTGAAAAAGTAGGTTTCCCATTTCCGTGTGTGTAGTTTGACTGACTGTAAATTTATTAGACGAATGATCTCCGATATTACTAGATCGATTGATTCATGTGAACTTTTAGTGTGCTTTAAGATGATCGTGTAGGTGGTGGTAAATCGTTAATGAAAATTCGTGTCTGCTCATTCCCACCTAAAATTTCTTGACGTCATCTCAAAAGTTTGCTGAGTAAATCTCGCTTGAAGTTTGTGTTGTACCAGAGTTTTAACCGCAGGCGTGGGT